TGCTCACACAGCACACTCACAGCACCCTCACATCACCTCCAGTCACACAACACACTCTAACACATATACAGCACACACGTATGTAAATAACCCTCAGTTAACAGACAAAGAAAATTAGAAACATAGAATGTGACAGTAGATAAGAACACCCTCACACACACACATACTGCACCCTTCACACATACACACAGCACACCCAACACACTGCGCCCTTCACACATACAATACATCCAAACACATACACTTATATAGGTATGTGTTTGGACGTATTGTATGTGTGAAGGGCGCAGTGTGTTGGGTGTGCTGTGTGTATGTGTGAAGGGTGCAGCATGCATAATATTATTGCCATTAATATAGCGCTTTACAATATTATATACTACAGCACCATTACACACATTACGCTCTAGATACACGCTAGATCCCTTACCCAATATACACTCTGAATCCTCTATAAACACACACACACACACACACACACACACTATCCTATTCACACTCTGGGTCCTTTACACACAAGATCCCCTATGCACACATTACATTCCTTGTAAGCAAACACATATTACATTCTCTAAACACACACTCTCTACAACCCCTACACACACTACAGCCCGTATGCACACACTCACTACATCCCCTATACAAACTATGCCCCCTATACACACTCTCTACAGCCTCTAGCCACACATATTACACCACAAACACAAATTAAATCAAACTATTTACACAATACCACACCACAATCAGCTTACTCTACACACACGCAATCCCACAAGCAGACTCCAAACACATGCACCATACGCTTTCTTGGCCCTTTTGTCCTCTGGTATCCCACTTATGGAGACACCAGAGACAAGTTAAAAGCAAACACAGTGCAAGCATGTTATTAAATTTGCTTGCGCTGCGCAGAACAAAAACAGGGCCTTTCCCCCATGCTAGAGCTCTTCAGCGGGGCTCTGAGCATTGAACTAATATGCTCCCTTTGAGAGGGGGAGTGCTTGTCATTAATGATGACAAAACACACCCTCTCTGGCCCCGCCGCTTTCTCAGGGTGCCGCTGTGATTGAAAAATGCCCGGGCCGAATTTTTTTCCCAGTCCGGCCCTGCTTGTGATTAATTATGGTGACTAGAGATCTGAGAACAGCAGTACCATTATATTTAAATCAATAGAATATGATAGATCATGGTCCTGCCCAAATACAGTGCCCAAAGGTCTTAACAGAGAAGACATTCCATTACATTTGAGTCCAAAATTTACAAATTGATATAATTTAGATAGAATTGATAGTTAAGAAAAATATACAATTAATTTATTGTTATTATTTTGGTTTTCACACGGAAGTAATAGAAAATATTGAAAGAGGTATTGAGGAGCGTTTGAGAAAGGGGGAGAAGGAGAAAACTTAATTAAGTCCTTTTGGACTCTGGGTTTTCAGTCTATAAATCCAAAACCACTCTTGTTGCCATTCCCCTATATTATACTGGTCTATTCTGAGATTCCAACATATTGTGTTAACAATAATGATTATCGAATACTTAAATTTTTTTTAATGGTAATCACTAAATAGAAATAATTTTCTATTGGAGAGGTTATCTGTAACTGATTGTTATTGTTCTGCTGTTTGCATAATACCATGCCTGCCTTGATGTTCATCACGTATGAGGACTGCCATGATACATTTTCTGCCATATTTCGTTTTATGCACTAATTAGCAGTAAATGTGAATTTTTGCAACATATTCATTCCCTCATTTATTCGCATAGAAATCTTTTTTTTGTGTATTACAGGGGTTTATCCCTGGGTGTGGACCATAACTTTATTCTTTATTAAAGTTTTGCAAACCCTCCCCTTCTAACCAAGCACAGATTTCCCAGTGTAGCTCAATAAGAATTCCTTGCAATACAGGTGCTATGGGCAACTGCTGCCTCTTGAGTTTATCTCCAGAGAGCTAACCAAATTGGGAAGTAACATGAAGACACTCTTAGCACAAAGTGCTTTAGGGTCTGTGGTGTCCCTTTAACTAAAATTCACAATTGGGTTTGCAATTTACTACTATATGGTGTTTATTGAATAAACTCCATATATATTTGGTAATATAACATTACAGTATCTTCCTGTTACACAATACACGAGAACAAATTGTTAAGAAATTATAAGGAGGGAGTTCCTCAGATTGAGGAAGCTCAGTTTTAAAAAATGGAAATGAATTCTTTGTTGGAAATAAAATGTTTTACATCCTTGCAACCACATATATAAATACATAGAATATTGAGTTTACACAATCAATATCAATTTCTAATTTGCATCAGTTATTTTTAAAATACCAAAATTATTATTTTGTATTTTATAGACCCAAGACAACTTAAAAAATATTCCTGGTATATCAATGGTTAAATGATATCAGCAAAATGTAGCTGTATTTGCATCTCTGCTATTTTTTACAAATTTGCCATTTGCTTGCCACTTCTCCACAATTTCCTCTTTAAGTAAATACATAGCAAATATATTTTTCTCTATTTGTACACTAAAGGCCTCCCAACTGTTCTGATTTTGAATGGACAGTCCCTATTTTTGAGTCCTGTCCTGCTGTCCAGGATTTGTTCCTTGGTGTCCTGCTTTCAGGACACCAAGGAACTATCCTCACAAAGCACTTGGACCATGCAGAGAGCGCTGTAACAGCTATCCATCCTCATCAGTAAAGCCAGGCCTCTGAACAATCCCAATTTAAATGGGACAGTCCAGATTTTCAGGTACTGTGTCCACACTTTTGGGAACACTAGGGAACTGTCCACAACACGCATAGTGCAAGCTCATTATTTGAAATTTTTGAGCTATGTTGAGGACACTAGGGCCCTGTATGGATCAATGAAACAGTGCTTTGTTATGCTCTGTCCTCACTGGGTGTGAATTCACACCAGGTTGACCGGCAAGTTAATTGGACTGGCTCGCCCCTTAGTCAATGACAACAACAAAAAATAATATTAAATAACACTTTGAAAAACACATTGTACCTTTTAAGCATCATCTGTGACTGTTTTTTAGGCTGTCCAATGTCAGGACCATATACCCCAGCATTTCTGTATTTGCTGTACTTTTTGAGAAGTTCATGTAAATTGACAAAATCTTTGCCAAGTTGGGAACCATCAACATAAATTCCAGATTTCTTCCTGAAGGAATTTGGTTCTGGAAACATAAAAGAAGCACGCTAACAATTGTCGATAAACTAAAACATCACCACCCAGGAAGATAGCTTTCCATATTTAAAGTTTTTGCAGATTTGATCTCAGCAGTACACTTAATTTACAAAAATAGAATGATGAAGACACACACACTATAAAAGGACACTATAGTCACCAGAACCACTACAGCTTAATTGTTCTGGTGAGTATAATCATTGTCAGGCATTTTCATGCAAACACTGCCTTTTCAGAGATGGCCACTGGAGGAGTTTCCTGGAGCAATGGTGCACAGTAGGCAGCACTGCTGTTCAACGAGACGCTGAATTTTCCTCATAAAGATCCATCTCTATGAGGAGGTGCCGATTGGACAAAATGGTGTTTCGCCCATTGCCGATTTCAGCCAATCCAATGCTTTCCCTATGGGAAACGATTGGGTTGGATAAAACTCGTAAATTCTGATGATGTAACCAAGGAGGCGGATCCGGGGCAGGGCCAGCGCCGGCAGACCCGCATGACCCTGGAAAGAAAGCAAGTTTTCACCTTTTCTAAGACGGCTAAGGGAGGGGGCAAGCCACCTAAATGGTAGATTAAACACGTTTGTGTTCCTGACCCTATAGTGTTCTATTGACATATGGTTTAACAATGCAAAAACCAGAAACTGGAGTTTAACATTCGACATTCATAAATAGAAAAAACTACTTTGCAATAATCCTCTTACCATTGCCAAGCTCCCAGGACAAGTCATAATTCTTAGAGGAGCAATAATCAATGAGAAGCTTTGCGTTTGTGCTGTTCCACACGTCATTTTCCTTTCTCAATAAAGCATTTAATCCAAAAATTAGATGTAATCCTGAGCAATTTGCAAATCTGTACAGTAGGTCTAACGTACTTCCTGTGGAGACACAACATCAAATGGATAAAGACCAAAAACAGTTACAGCAGTTTTGATTTACTTAAGAAGAAATCATGGGAGCTGGCAAGAGTATGTGGGGCAAAAAACAAAACAAAACAAAAAACTAACTTAGTACTCCCCACAGCGATAGGCTGAGGATGTGTTACTTTTCTTTTAAATTGTAGAATTAAAATAGTACATGAAATATGCAAATATGTGTCATAAAATAATAGTATATTGTAAAACAAGTCGTTGAGGAGCCAACTCGTAAAAAGACCATACTAGATTTAGTGTTAACAAATGGAGATTTGGTATCAGATATTACTGTAGGTGAAAGCTTAGGATCCAGTGATCAGTAGTCAGTGTGGTTTAATATAAGAACAGTGACTGAGTCACACCACACAAAAACAAAAGTTTTAGACTTTAGAAAAACAGACTTTTCTAAAATTAGAATATGTGTAGAGGAGTCATTATCAGACTGGAGCAATTTAAATGGAGTCCAAGAGAAATGGGATTATTTAAAAGTTGCACTACTGAAGGCAACAGAAAATTGCATTAGGCTTGTCAGTAAAAGCAAAAAAATTCAAGAAACCACTGTGGTACTCCGCAGATGTAGCCAAAATAGTAAAAAACTAAAAGTTAGCATTTAGTAATTATAAAAAAAAACAGCGTGATGAAGACAGAATGATCTATAAGATTAGGCAGAAAGAGGCTAAGCAAGTTATAAGAGCTTCCAAATCTCACACAGAAGAGAAAATACAGTCAGTAAAAAAGGGGGACAAAACTTTTTTAAGATACATAAATGAGAAAAGTAAAACAAGGATTAGATTAAAAACAAAAGAAGGAAGGTATGTAGAAGAGGATAAAGGTCTAGCTGACTGCCTCAATATTTGTGTTCGGTATTTACAGATGAAAATGAAGGAAGGGACCTCAGTTAAGAAAAAGGATAAATGAGTAATTTATTACACGTGAGTTTACAGAGGAAGAGGTTCTATTTCAACTGTCAAAAGTAAAGACAAATAAGTCAATGGGACCTGATGGAATACACTCAAAGTTATTAAAAGAGCTTAGTGGTGTACTAGCAAAACCATTAACAGATTTATTTAACCAACCATTGTTAACAGGAGTAGTCCCAGAAGATTGGAAGTTAGCGAATGTTGTGCCCATTCACAAGAAAGGTAATAGGGAGAAGTCAGGCAACTATAGGCCAGTAAACCTTACTTCAGTAGTGGGG